TGCCTTCCCTGTTCCTGCTCCCTTGGGCAGGCTGGGGGCTTGCTGCCATCTCAGCCCCAGAGACACGTTCCTTGGTTGGCTCCCTTGATTCTCTTCATTAGTTACCTGCTTGGCAGATGCTTTTCATTTGTTTCTGTCTTCTACCAAAGGTGAAAATTCTCACATTTACATTCACAACATACTAATAGCCTGAAATTTTACTTCTATCCTTTTATTGAGTAATTTTATTTTTCTCTTTACCAGTTTACATACAAAATAATACATGCAGTATATACATAGTTGTGAAGCATGGTCATGAACTGTGCACATGTGTACCTACCCACCCAGCAGAGCACCAAGGTGCTCCCCATGGGCTCTTCTGGCCCATCTCTGAGGGAAAGTGTCTTTTTGAGTTTAGTTGCCATTTGTCTTAACTCCTCTGGTAAATGTGTGGGTCACGTTTTATGCCCATTTTCTTTTTCTTTTTTATCATTCCACAGGAGTCCTTCGTATGTCCTAGCTACTGACTCTGGCTGTCAGCAGTAGCGCACATATTTGAGACCACAGCTTTTCTTTTCTCTTTGTGAGGTAGGTGTCTCTGATGAGCAAAATTTCCCTATTGTAATGTAGTTGAGTTTAGCAGTCATATCTTATGTTTAGCATTTTTTTCTAATCATATTTAAGAAACCTTTCCCAATTCCAAAGTCATAAATTCTTCTGTATCATCTTGTGAAGGTTTTGAAGCTTTGCCTCTTGCATTGCTTCCGGAATCTGCCTGGAGTGTTTCCCAGATAACCTTGTGGTCTCAGCTCATTTGTGGAATCACTGCTCCTCCCTCCAGTCTGTAGTGCCACCTCCATACACACCAGCTTCAAATCTGCGGGGGTCTCCTTCTGGGCTGTCTTTGATCTCCAGATTCCACTTCTAATAATTGGCTGTAAGGATAGTTGGGTCCATATGCAGGTATTTAGTTTCAAGAGCATGAACTGACATTGTTGGCAGTACTGGGTGAGTGGGTTGCATTCTCAATGTTCTGGCAGTGGGAATCAGTCAATTGAGGGCATGCTGGTGCAGTGAAATGCTCTGTAGTCCATGAGAACATAATTACTAATATGGGCACATAGTGCCAATATATTGTGACAGAAAGAAGTAGCAAGTTAAAGTACAGTATGTACAGTATGATTCCATGTTTCTAACAAGTTAAGAGATTGCAAGTTTTAAAAAACCTGTTGTTGCTTCCTCTTGTCCTGGTTGTCCTTAGTATGATCTGATGGCTTTGTCCTCTGTCAGGCCAGCACATCTACCTTGGCAGGGTCCTCATGGCCGCCCTCTGTGGTCTTCTGCCAGATCTCATTTCTGGTTTTGCTGCTGCATTTGACATCACAGATGTCATCGTGGTGCTTTCTCATCTCTCCTGGGTTCTGTCCACTTTCTTCTCATTCTTCTTTCTGGCCTCCCCTTCTCCTCGCTGCCCCTGTGTTGGTGTCCCTGGCTTCCCATTTCTCTGGATCCCTCACACTTTACACCTTCTTGTAGGAGACCTAGGAACCTCCTTCCCACATTAAACTGTCTCTTATACCAGAGACCTGCAGCACTGGTTGTTGGCTTACTTCAGACTCCCTGATGTCCTCAAGGCCCATGGAGTCAGCATGTCCCAAATGAAACCCACATCCCCCCTTCGAGCTGGATGCTCTGGAGTCGTCTGGGATTTCTGTCCCATCTCCTCCTCTTTCCCCATTGATTTCTTTGTCTTTCCAAATCTCTCTCTTACCTGTGTCCATATCTCTTTCCACAGACTCTCATTGTTACCAACTTCCCCCCTCACATGAGTTTCTGGAGTATTCTGCCTGCCTCCAGGTTTCACTCCCTTCCCCTTTTCACATTGTGGCTACGCTCATCTTTCTAGAGTCTATTTCTGAGCCACCACTCCTGGATTTGGGGCCCTATAACCTAGCTGATAATGGCCAGGCAGTGATCTGCGGCTGTCCCCCACCTTCCCACCCTTACTGGGCTCTGTGTCTAGTTCCAAGAGCTGCCTGTGGGCCTCTGTCTGCCAGCCCCTCCTCTCCAGCTTGCTCAGATACCTGCTCGTCTCCCAAAACCTGTTGTGTGCAGTGTCCCTCAGGGGACATTGCTTGCTCCCTCTGTGCCCTGAGCCCTGCATCCCAGAACACTCCCATAGGTACACGTTCGTCCTCTGGTCTGAGTTCCCACCCATGGAGCCCTCAGAGCCCAGCATAGTGCCTGGCACCTAATGATCCGGCTGTGTGTTGGAGGAAGGAGAGAGGTCCCCAGTGACTTCCAGAGGGGGAGCATCCTCATCGTGGGCCTGGGTCCTGCTGGCCCCTTTTAGACAGAGAATGCCTGGCAGGGGAGTGTTTGACCAGGGCTCAAGGAGCTGTTCCCTGGTTTGAAACCGCTTTGAAGGGCATTTCCAGAGAGACCACTGGAGACCTCACTTCTGAGGTAGGTGCCTCTGGTGGTCTTGGGCCTGTGGACTTGGCATGTGTCCATCTGGTAATTGGGTGACTGTGGCTCCCAGGGCCACACTTAAGCTCAAGCTTGCTGGTCTTCATTGGGTCTCCTCACTGAGTCCAGTGTTGGGATTTGTTTCCTGCATAAGCTTGGAGGTGGGCGAGTGTTCACTTCTCCACTTGTTGCTCTTTACCTGACTGGTGGCTGAGAGTTTTCCCAGCACCTGTATGGGTTGCAGCTATGTCTCTGATGGTAAAAAGGTTATCCTGGGTGGCTTGGGTGACAGAGCTGGCTCTTCTCTTTGTGCCAAAACCTGGCAAAGTGACTGTAAGAGCCTGGCCTGGTCTGAGCGAGCTGTGCCAGGGGATCTGGCTCTCAACTCTCGCTCTGCTCTGCAGGGTGAGGAGGGGCCTTGCCAGCCAAGCAGCATTTCCTGTGGGTGTCTTTCACAGACTGCCACATGCAGAAAGCAGCAGATTATTTAGGGGTGCTATTTTCTTGACCACTTTTAGTTCACTGCCTTTGACTGAGTGTTTAAAAATATTCTGCAGCATATCAATAGTATTCATGGACAGCAAATCAGAAGAAGAAATGCAGTTTCTGAGAAAGTTTCAAAAAATAATGGTCTCTATCTTTTCCCCAGCCTTTTCTGCTGAAACCCACCAAAGTCTTTTTCTGAGCACTCTTGTTCTATAAATAGAGCAGTGGCTCTCCTTGGGCAGCCCAAGATCGCAGACTCTCATCCGCCCTCTGAAAGATGTGTGTGTGTGTGTGTGTGTGTGTGTGTGTGTGTTGTGTGTGTGTGTGTGTGTGTGTGTTGCAATAAGTGTTTTAATTTTGCTTTTTCTTTTACGTAGGAGGTGTGTAGCAGGAGACGCAAGAGAAAAGACTCTAGTATCTGTCCTTTAACTTATAACTTTTCTGGGTTTTGGCTTGTTGGTTTGTTGTCTTTTTCTAAAAATTTGCATTTAGGAAGGAGATGGAATCGATTACTTCTCCTGCAGAGGTAAGGAAGATGAATGTGGGATGAGAAGAGGTGTCTTCACAGAGCGAGACCTTTGAGGTCATCAAATAAAGGGTCTTGTGATTTGTGTTTCCTGCATCCATGGATTGGCACTGTGCTGTACAGATGTATTTGAAATGAGTGTCACTCATGTGTACTTGGATCTGAAAAGGATGTTCGAAAACAAACTGGTTACCAGTCTGTGCCTGCCACGGACTGGTTTATATCCTAGCTACCAGGATCTAAAGGGAAGCTTTCTCTCTGCCCTGGGTCATCCTAGTTCTGTTTCCAACAGGACCTGGATGCTAATGACTGTAGCCTAGAGTTTGGGGGTGAGGGTGGGGTGAGAGAATCTCTTCTGCCTCATCAGAATACTTGATCGTTGGGTACTGTGTTCTTCTCCTTCTTCCTGGCACTCTTTCATTACTGGGGAGAGAAGGTAGGCGTCTTCTCCAGAAGTCTGAGGTGAAGGTATAAGCCACAGAGTGAGTAAGTGGATTCTTCAGCAGTTTTTCCTTGGGTTGATCCTCTAGAGGTGGAAACGGCTGCTGTTCATATTACCAGGCCAGCATCGAAATCATGGAGTTCATCATGATTGGCACATGGTGCTACGTGGAGCGTCTTGGAAGTGTTCGTGTGTGCTGGCATGTACGTTTGGATGCCCCGTGCTGGGATAAGGAGAGGAGATCCCAGGGTACTGTGTGCTTGCCTGCACCATCTGCCCAGTATGGTCCTGTGCCTGTCCATGGTTGATAGTGTGTGCAGCTGGAGGCCTTCTGCAGCACTAGAGTCAGATTTTTGCCTTCATGCATGTTGTTGATTGGTTTGACTGTGTTAGTGGTGAAGTTCCTTGAGCACTTGACTTCTTGGTGTTGGGGCGGGCTCACGAATCCCACTGAAAGTTCTGGCGTGGGACACATAAGGTAAGGGGAACAGAAGCCATTCTCCCTCTGTTCATGGCTTTGATTGAGCCAAGGTGAGTGGACTGCTGTCCACTTCTGGATTCTTTTAAGAGGATATCTCCTGTTGTGGGGTGGCACATCAGATTTGTGGAATGAGATTTGTGGAATGAGATTTTTTTTGGCCAAGGCACTTCTCTCTCATGGTATGTGCAGATGTATATGCCTGTCCTATGAATGGTGAAGAGGGCTGAGGGCGCAGGCCTGGAGCCGTGCTGAGCCCCGGAGCAGCCGACGTAGACAGTTTTGGCAGCATGATCCTGAGAAATGGCAAGAGTCCAAAGAACATGGAGACAGGGCCAAGAATAGCTGAAAAATACCAAATGCTGAAGTGGGAGAATGCTTTGGCCTCATGTCCCAGTCTTCCTCCCAGCTGCTGCTTACTGTGGTCTTGTGAGCCTCAGTATCCCCTTCTACTCATCTCCTGGCATATCCAGAGCACATGCTGGGCCTCTGGTACCCTTGCTCAGCACAGGCACACCATCAACCCTTAGAGGATTGGTGCACTCTCTCCCTTCCCGGCTGTGCTAGTCTGTTCATAGGTCAAAGTCTGGTGAGAGTGTGAGAAATATTTTCTGTTACAGACACAAATGTGCATCAGCCACAACAGGGTGTGCTTCAGTTGGAGGAGCAAAAGGGCACCTTAAAAACACAAGTTCATGAATATGTTTCTGTACTTTCAGACCATCATCAAAGAGGGGATGCTGACCAAACAGAACAATTCATTCCAGCGATCGAAAAGAAGATACTTTAAGCTTCGAGGGCGAACGCTGTACTATGCCAAAACGGCTAAGGTGAGACACGGTATAGGAAGCACGTGGGTGAACACCCTGGGGACTGCAGGGAGGAGTTGGGGGGGCTTCGAGTCTCAGATCATTATTTTCAGCTAATTTTTAGTGCTCTAGGCTGTCAGGTTTATTTGTCTCGAGGCTTGTTTTATTTCTTTTAAAAATTAATTTTTACTTATTTTCCTTTCTTGATGTCATCACTAGTGGGAAAAGGAAAAAGGGGTCACAGCAATAACCACATTGCAATTGGATATCTTTCTTTCAGAAAAATGGGGGATCACAGGCTTATGAATCTGTCACTATGGACTGAAAGTTTTTTTTGAGTGTATTGAGCTTCTTAGTGTGTGACTAGAAATGTGAAATTCCATATTTCTGGGCTTTCTGGCAATTAGCCTACTTTCTGTGTGCCCTAGTGTAGTAAGACTTAAAATCACCAAGTGGATGCAGATGCAAGAAGAGGAGCCAGTGAAAGTCAGACTGCCATGTTTAAATGAATGTGGTATTGGACTTTCAAACACCAGTGTGTTGGCTGGTCTTCTGAATACTTGTATTTTTGTATCAGTATTGGTGCCAGTAGTGATATTTTGTTATTTAAAAAATCTGAAAGTGTAATAATTTACATTTTGAGATGTATCCCTAGGAAATTATTGCATTGAAATTTGAAATTGAACAAAGCAGCTTGTTTAGAAAGGTTCTGACCACATCCTTCATTTATGCAAAAAGAAAAGTAAAAAAGCCTCTTACAGTTATTTTAAGTCTTTTTAGGAGGAAGGAGGAGATTACTTAAATGGCTGAGTCTCTTTTCTTAGCTATTAGAATTTCCTCCAAGGGTTTTGCGTAGAGTCGTCGTAGAATAGAGGGAGTGGGAGTTAAAGGGGAGTAGAGTGGTGGTGGAGGTGGGCTGAGGGAGAGAGGAGATTGAAATGGAGGCAGGTCAAGGCCTAATTCCCAGGCCCTGCCCTGCAGCTTCACCGTCTCTCTCCTGGACTAGACTCCTGCTCTGCTGCCTTGTTTTCTTTCATGGCCAGATCTCTTCTATTTGGGCCTATCTCTTTCCCCTTAGAATAACTTATTTAGGCAGGACTTTTCTCCTTAAACGTGCTAGCTGCAGAAACTAAAGCCAGGAGGACAGAGAGTCCTCAGTCCAGACCCCAGCTTTCTCAGGTGGGATACTATGTGAAGACATATTTCATATTTAAAAGTGAATTCGCTGATATTAACAGTAGTGTTTTGGTGCTACAGAAAATGCATACAGAAATACTAGTATTGTTGGTTTTTTGTTGTCCTTGGCTCCAATGATGCAATCATAAATGAACTCCCTGGATTAAAAAAAGAAATCATGGCACTGTACCTGTGAGCCTGATGCTCTTGGTTAGAGGGGTGGTTTCAAGGTACTTAGGTATCTGTAGGTGCTTGGTGGGGTTGGACGTCACGGTGGACAGTGCTGGCTGGTTTCTTGAGGACCTGCCTGTTTTGGTCCCTGTGTTTATCTCCTTCCAGTCAATCATATTTGATGAGGTGGATCTGACAGATGCCAGTGTGGCCGAATCCAGCACCAAAAACGTCAACAACAGTTTTACGGTAAGACCTTGGAGTCATATCTTTCTTGATTCTTCACCACCTTTGGCTTTCCTTTTTGATTTCAACAATGTGTGCAAGCACTTAAACTTTTTCATCTTTTTCTTTCTGATTGCAACAATTCTGGTAAAATTTGAATTGGATGCTTGAAAATAATACTGTGGTTGGAGAATAACTGAGAATTTGGCACATGTAAGCATGAAGAATGAGAAGGACTGAATTAATGTTTTTGATGTTTTGTGATTTACATCTTAACAGTTCTGTGCAGTTTTATTTTTGTGTGTTTGATTATTGTAGAAATAATCAGAAAAGTATTGTAGAAATAAGCAGAAAAGTATGTTAAAGCAATTAAAAAGCAACCAAATTCAGCCACCTGAAAACAGGCTGTTAATATTTTGGGTTTTTAAAAATTTTTTATGTTTAAGGTTTTTTCCTCCCAAATTTAAAAGCCATAAAGGACTGTGTGAAAGTTCTAAATGCAAAAAGTCTTATGGTCTCACCACTCAGAGGTGGCTACCTGCTCACTCTAGAGTATTTACTTTGTTTCTGTACATCTGTGTCTTTACCTCCCTGCACCTATGAGCTCACACTGAGCCTTTTGCTTTACATCTAGTTTTCTTTCCCCTGAACAATTTATGGTGGACATTTTCTCATGTCAGTTGATCTAAGTGTTCATTATATTATTTGGTGGATATATATATATACATATATATATTCTATATATACTATTTTCTTGTATGACTTTATAATTTTGGCTTTATGGGCTGACTTTAGAACCTACCTGTGTAAGGTATGACTCTAATAATAGCACTAGAATTTTTTTTTGTTTGAGTTGGAGTCTCACTCTGTCGCCCAGACTGGAATGCAGTGGCCGCTCCCGGCCACTGCAGCCTCGACCTGCTGGGCTCCGGCGATCTTTCTGCCTCATCCTTGAGTAGCTGGAATTACAGGCGCGCGCTACCACGCCCGGCTAATTTTTTTTTTTGATTTATTGTAGAGATGAGGTCTCGAACCCGCGGGCTCAGGCAATCCACTCACCTCAGCCTCCCAAAGGCGCGGGATTACAGGCTGAGCCACCGAGCCCGGCTGCACTAGAATCTTTAAAAGTCATTTTTCTTTTTTTGAGTCAGAGTCTCACTCTGTTGCCCAGGCAGGAGTGCAGTGGCATGATCACGGCTCACTGCAGTGTAGACCTTCTGGGCTCAGGCAATCCTTCCACCTCAGCCTCCTAAGCATCTGGGGCTATAGGCGTGCACCACCACATCTGGTAAATTTTTTTTTTTAAAGAGATGAAGTCTCGCTGTGTTGCCCAGGCTGATCTCGAACTCTTGGGCTCAAGCAATTCTCTTGCCTCAGCCTCTCAAAGTGTTGACCACTCACAGGAATGAGCCATTGTGCCTCGCCAAAAATAATTTTTCTTTATGTTATTAGGCTATCCTATCTAGACATAAAGTATGCCCCCTAATTTTTAAAACAGTCTCACTGTGTCGCCCAGGCTGGAGTGCAGTGGCACGCTCACGGCCCCTGCGGCCTCAACCTGCTGGACTCAGGCGATCCTTCAGCTTTCCAAGTAGCTGGAACCACAGGCATGTGTCACCATGCCCAGCTAATTTTTTGATTTATTATAGAGGTGAGGGCTTGCCATGTTGTTCAGGCTGGTCTTGAACCCCTGAGTTCAGGCAGTCCTATTGCCTCCATCTCCCAAAGTGCTGGAATTACAGGATTGATTCACTGCACCTGGCCTCAGTCCTTCTTTTGTAACTCAGTCAAGGTGAGTCGTTTTCCTTGTGTATAGGATCTGATACCTTGGGTTAGTGTTAGTTTCAGGTACTTTCAGGTATAATTTTGTTTTATTTATTTATGGATTGATTGTTGATGTTACTGATATAAAGGGGATTTTTCTTTCTCTTTTTAAACTTCTTATTTTGTGTTGGTGTAACTGCAAGTGGTTTATTCCTCACTTTTCTGGGAATATTTGTACCTTTTCTCCATTAATATTGTTCTCTCCTTCTTGGAGAGAAGAGACTTTTTTTTAACCATGTAAATTAATTATCCTTTCATCTGAGGTTTTTGGAGTTTTTAATAATAATAGGTGTTGAATTTCATTGGCATGTTCTGAGCATTTAGGTGTTTAATTTGGTTTTGGTTATTTGCACATTTTCTAATAATAAACCATTCTTGGTAGTGTTGAATCTTACTCCCTAATTTTGTGTTTAGAATTTTCCCATTGGTGTGTATGCTCTTCTTTGGGTTAAGAGGTACCCTTATTGTACTTTTTAGAATTTTATTTTTTCTATTTTTAATGTAATTAGACATATAATAGTTATACATATTGCATTTGTTGTGTTTTGATTTTGTATTTAAACAGGTCCTGTAAAATTCATTTAGTAACTTTTCATAAGTTTATATGTTCTGTACCATTTATTTATTTATGTTTATTTGGGTTGGAGTCTCTCACTCTGTCATCCAGGCTGGAGTGCAGTGGCATGCTCACGGCCACTGCAGCATCAACCTGCTGGCCTCAGATGACCCTACTGCCTCAGTCTTCCAAGTAGCTGGAACTTCAGGCATGCGCCACCACGCCCGTCTAATTTTTTGATTTATTGTAGAGATGAGGTCTCACCAAGTTGCCCAGGCTAGTCTTGAATCCGTGGGCTCAGGCAGTACTCTCACCTTGGCCTCCCAAAGTGTTGGGGTTATAGGCATGAACCACCGTGCCTGGCCCATACCATTTTATATAGCTTTGGGATTGGTTGTTTCTTCAGTGTGAGAGGACTTACTTTTAAAAACATTTTTATTTATTTTATTTTATTTTTTAGAGATGAGGTCTCACCATGCTGCCCAGGCTGGTCTCAAACCTGTGGGCTCAGGCAATCCTCTTACCTTGGCCTCCCAAAGTGCTGGGATTACAGGCGTGAGCCATCGCGCCCAATCTGAGAGAACTTACTTTAAATGATCTGTTAGGAAGACTTTTCAGGGAGGTATGGCTATGAATGATAACTTTCTTAAAATATTTACTTTTTGCTTTTGATAATTTGAGCCTTTTTACTTTTTGAATACATGTCTGTAATTTAACTTTCTTTTTTTTTACATTTCCTTTCTCACTAATTCCATACCTTCAAATTTAGTAGCATGTGCTATTGTGTACTTTGACAACATGTCTCTCGATAGTCACCCTTTGGCTTTCTAATTTTATTTGTTTAGCTTGCTTGTCTTGTCAGGTGCCTTAAACTTTAGCATTTTTGTTTTCTTTGTTTTTAGAACCAATTCTTGGATTATTGATCAGTTCTATTTTTCTGTTTTCTAAGTCAGTTTCTGCATTTATGTTGTCCTTTTTTCTGCCTTCCATAACTCTTTTTAACAATGAATTGATTGGCTTATCTATATCTTCACTTTGTGTCTCTCTCACACACATATATACATGAAAACATGAGCAACACTGAATTTAATTTAACTCTGAACACCTTTCTGTTTACATTCCAAAACTTGTTTTTTCTCCCAATAGAAAAAATATATTGAAGACAAATTGCTGTTGTTGAAAAATTTTAAGTATATACACATAAATAAGAAGTTAAAAACCATCCATATTCCTATTACCCAAAGATACTGGTACTATACAGGTTGAGTATTCCTTATACAAAATTCTTGGGACCAGAATGTTTTGGATTTTGGAATATTTACATTATACTTAGAAGTGGAGCATTCCTAATCTGAAAATCCGAAATCAGAAATGTTTGCAAATTTTCTGATGAGCATTTCTTTTGAGCATGACCTTAGTGCATCATGTTGACATTCAGAAAGTTTTGGATTTTGGAGCATATTGAATTTTGGGTTTTTGGATTAGGGATGATCATCCTTCATTTTGATTTATATCATTCTTAACAAATACATTTTATAAAATACAGTTTTTGTTTTTGTTTTTTTTTGAGTTGGAGTCTCACTCTGTCGCCCAGACTGGAGTGCAGTGGCCGCTCCCGGCCACCGCAGCCTCAACCTGTTGGGCTCCGGCGATCCTTCCACCTCAGCCTTCCAAGTAGCTGGAACTACAGGCGCGCGCTACCACGCCTGGCTGATTTTTGATTTATTGTAGAGATGAGATCTTGCTGCCCAGGCGGGTCTCGAACCCACAGGCTCAGGCAATCCACTCACCTCAGCCTCCCAAAGGTGCAGGATTACAGGCTGAGCCACCGAGCCCGGCTAAAATACAGTTTTTGACCTGCTTTCTTCAGCTAACAATGCGCTTGTTCCTATTTTAATATCTTTCAATATTTTGTTTGTTATTGTTGCATAGTATTTCTTCATAGAAATGTATGTGTTTGATCAGTCTTTATTGTTGAACATTCCATTTTTTTCCTATTATTCATAATGTGTTACACACTTGTATACAGATCCTTTTGTACATTTCTGATTATTTTTTATAGTATAAATTCTTAACATGGAATTTCACTTGGGGTAAAAAGTGTGAATTTTTAAAAGACTTTTGAAAAATAAATGAAGTACTGACACATGCTACAACATGGATGAACCTTGAAAACATTACGTTAGGTGAAAGAAGCCAGACTCCCAAAAGGCCACATATTCTGTGATTTCATGTCTATGACATGTTCTGCAACAGGCAAATTTGTAGGTTCAGAAAGTAGCTTAGTAGTTGCAGTGGGCTGTGGGGAAAGAAGGAGGGTTTACTAATTAGTATGGATTTCTTTTTTGGGGTGATGAAATGTTCTAAAATTAGATAGAAATAAGCTTTGCACAACTTTGTGAATATGCTAAAAAGGACTGAATTGCACACTTTGTTCTTTATTTTATTTTTTAAAAGTAGAAAAACAGGTTTATTGAGTGTGCTGCAAGGGGGCAAGCAGTAAGGGAGCTATCCACCAGTTTTATTTTTTTTGAGTTGTCACCCAGGCTGGAGTGCAGTGGCACACTCGCGGCCACCACAGCCTCGACCTGCTGAGCTCAGGCAATCCTTCCACCTCAGCCTTCCAAGTAGCTGGAACTACAGG